AAACTCTAATGTATATATTAAGAGTAAAGCTTTAACACTTTTACAGTTATTTCTTTAGATGGCACCACCATAGAGCTTTGCTCCGAAATATCTACGAAATCTGATTCGTAACTTCTATTGGTTCTATTGTCGCACAGGTATGTATATGTATATGTACATGCATATGTATGTGTATGTGTGTGTGTGTGCTTGTATTTGGGTACGTATAATGTATAATGAATTGTTTAACTGTTGCCATGAACAGCAGCAACAACAAATTGTATCTAAACTTTGGACAGATGAAGCTCCAATAGCTGTATATATAGGTATGTAAACACATACATACATACATAATATTTATATATGTATGCCTGTTTATACATGTGCAGCGTGTGTCGTCAGCGCTTTTGCCGTATCTGTAGGCACAACAACAAAAGCACTTGGCATGCTCGCCTTTAGTACATAATGTATCTGTATCTAAGCAAGCGAGAGCTCTGGGCCAGGCAGCCAAGGCAGGCGGACCGGGCCAGGCCAAGCTAAAAAGTAAATGCTTCTCTTTTGTTGTTGTTGTTGTTTTTTTTTTTTTAACCGGTTGAAGTCATATTTGCCACCGTGGAAGCAGTAGAAGTAGTAACAGACGAAGAATAAGAATATGAAGCAGTAGAAGACCAAGAAGAGGCAACAACACTCGATTGCCCGCTGTGCACGCAAGAGATATTGAGAGATTGAGACATTGAGACATTGACACATTGACTTCCAATGGACAAATACACAAAATACGCTTGTTTAGCTGCTATTTCTGCTATTCTCTTAACTAACTTCAGCCATAAGCTATACGAAATAAGAGACATATGCCCAGATTCGGACAGAGAGCGCAGACCACTTGAAAGCATCTAAAAGTCTCAGTAAACTCGAGATACTAAAAACTCAAGATTTTTAGTGTTTAACCAAGACTATGGGAAACAATATCATTATATACATATAACTTCATAATTAAGAGTTAAATATTCATTAAAAAAACTCTTTTTATCGTTGTCATATATCGATAGATATCTTATAATAACGGTAGTATCTCACTCTTACACAAAATCTTTCCATACATATAAAAGAGCTAAAAATCCTTCAATCTATTGATATAAATATATAAACATACATTATAATAGAAGCAATTGTTTCGAAGCTAATCGATAACGATACACGATTCATAAAGGCAAATCGACAGCTTTAGGCTTTCAATATGGCCTTGCTGAAAACTAAAATCGAATTATCGATCAACTAACGATAGACATGCTAAATCAAGGCGAATCGATATTTTTTTGTGTAATATACTATTAAATAATAACGATATCCAGCTAATATTGACTCGATATTTTGAACTATATATCATCTCATATGACGCTAAAGGTGAAATCGATCCTCAATTGTCTATAAGCTATCGATATACTATTAATACTTATGTCACACATACAAAGCCTTAGCCCTTACAAAATTTATCAACAATTATCGATACATATGCAACACCAATCATCGATAGCACACAGGTGAGCGTCTCTGGCGCCAATCGATATCGATTGCGATTGCGAATGCGATTGCTTTGACGCTAAGCTGTTGAAGCTTGTTATCTAAATACATTAATTGATTCGACTTTTAGCTCGAGATACTTGGGTATATACATATATAGGCGTGTATATACAAGATACGTGTATATGTATGTATGTATATACATATTGTTTATATATTTTACAATGTCATATAGGTCTGTCTATCTTTGCCTTCTATGCCGCTCTTTTGCTTACAAACTCTAGTTCTAACAATCCCCCCTCGCTCTTCCTCACACTCACCCTCTCTCTCTATCTCTCTCTCTATGTATCTCTTTCTTTCTAGCAGCGGAAAAAATAACACACACACACATACAAAGCGAAAAAAATTATGTATACACACGCCAATCGGTTTATATCTGAGATAATATGTAGCTACATATATATGAGTGTCTGTATCTATGGGTGTGTGTGTGTGTGTGTGAAAGGCAACAACGGGGCCAAGCAAAGCGACAAACATTGGTTAGGACGACGACTGGTCGATTAAACCGAGAGCCTGAACTGCCTGAACTGCCTTCACTTGTGCAAGGGACGTCGCGCCACAGGACTGTGGCTGCAGAGGAGCGGGGAGGGGGAGGAGCGGGGAGGTTGGCGAGGGCTGTTACTTCATGCCGCTCCCCACTCTGCCCCTATTCACTTTATGCCATCCTCGCGCACACAAAACGGCTCTTTGATAATTTCTCGCTCATTTTCTGACTCGTCGTGAGTGCAGAAGCATCTTCTTCTTCTTCTTCTTCTTCTTCCTCTGCTGCTGCTGCTGCTGCTTCTTGTTCTTCGCCCAGTGCCCACCTGCCCCCCCAAGCCCCTATGCTTTCAGCTCAGCCCACCCATATATAGTACCTCTGTCTGTGTGTGTGTGTGTGTGTATCTGTTAAATCTCGTATTAATTCTAATAAGAGAGAAAAGTATCTGCATTGATGCTGATGCTGATGCTGCTGACATCTTTCATAGGTACAGTGAGCAACGAGATGACTCCGCACCGTGTTACAACATGAGACACTCTCTAGATGAGACACCAACTGCAGTCCAATTGAAATCCAACTAAACTCCAATTTGACAAAAGAGTCGCATTAAAGCGTTTAACTGGATTCCAATTAGATTTCAATTAGATTTAGTAAGCAGACTGAAATGTGCCTTCATTTTTTTTTGTTTAGTTTTTGGTGTCACACTTAATCAGCGACTACTGTAGTTGCAGCTCCGTTAGTTGATACTAAATTTGGCTGATATTTTGGCCACATTCCATATGAATTGATATGGGCCAACTATGCGGGCGTATACTATGTATTCATCAGATACATAACAGATACGATATGGTACGGCACGGTACGATACGATACGATACGATGCGATATCAACAAATTCTTAACGGCAAGACAACAAGAACCGTTATCTCAATTGCGGTTTTATGCAAGAAGCAAACAAATACGTGATTTGTGGTACATCAAAGACTGAAAAGTAGATATGCCTAAAATACGTACATATATATGTATATATATGTATATGTATATATGTGTATACATAAACACATACAATTTTGCAAATGTTTCTCAAATTTGCCAAGTACATAATACCATCTACTATATACATATATATATTATAATATATACGCATATATACAC